ACCCTCTTGTTGCGCGCACTTCAGCCAATGCCCGAGCGTCGGAAATAACCCCAAGGCTCAGAACCGGCCATTTGGGTATTGGCACCATATAATGCGTTGTCATCGCAAATACTCACGTAGAGCTGCATAGCGAATTGGTATGTGTGGGTGCTGCGCCCGCACGATGTTATACTAAGCCCTTGCACGCAGCACTCGCCGACTTTTGCACTAAAAGTTATGGGTCAGGCGGCGAGATCAAAGACGCGATATGGCTGATAGGCTCGGGTTCCTGGTACCGCAAAGCGACACATGGGTGAAGGACTAGCCCCAGTCGGCCTATGGAAACCCGTGTACGGACTGTCATTTCCTCGGACATCGGGTAGCCTGGGGGTCTGGGTGCGGGCCTCCCCCGCGCGCGCGCCGTTTGAGTCCGCCTAACCATTTCATTTTTGGACCCCACTAAACCAATGTGAGTTGGAGTAAATTCTTTTTTTGAGCTTTTTTAATTGGACGTTATAGTCCGTGGCAGCCGTCAAAGTCAAACCCCTTGATATTCGACCGCCACGACAGCTTGAAGCTGTCTACTCAACCCCTCTGGACAAGGTGCAGAAGAGTGTGTGGTCTCCAACCGCACATGGCGGTTGTCTGGCGTCGAGAGATTGTCCCTCAAGGCGCTTGTCAGCCGACACCTGAGTGTCGAACGCGACCCTCAAGATTGACGAGGGCCACGTGAGTATGGATATTACATAGTACGCTATCATTGTGACCGCTTGTGTACACTTGCATTGCGAGTCAATATGAGTAGCCCCGTGTCCGCGCGATACTTATACTAAGCCTCGCACGTGACGCCCATTCGATTTCCGCATCGAAAGGTTATGGGACGACTACTAGGGGCTAGGAGCGTTGTCGCGTTGTTTGCGTTGTGTCGTCTCACATATATGTGTGTGTGTGTTCCCTTTTGTATCGTAGAGCATTGTATGCGTGGTGAGTGGGATGCGTCCTAGCCGACAGACGACGAACCACGCTTGGAACTTCAGACCCCCAAGATGTCGGTTCGCGTGCGGGTCCGATGGGCATGCTACCGCGCGTACCCCCTATACTACAGCGAACGAGAAACGCCCTCAGCTGGTCCACCTCTGCGGTTGCAACCAAGTAGCTTTCGTACTGTGGACTGGTAGCTCGGCGGGGATACACCCACCGAAGGGAGGTGACAGCTCCCGTAAGGTGGAGGTAAGTTCTGCCTCGCGTAGGCCCTATCCTGTCGTAGGGGCTCGCGAGAGGTATGGCTGGCGCACTAGGCCGGAGCGGCCTAAGGAAGCTCCATCTGCGTGTTCATGACAAGGTTAGTCCAACTCCTGCGTGAAGCGGCCGAGAGGGTCCTGCGCTGCCACGAGCAGTGCCGGACCGATGCGCTCGACAGCGCCCACGATCGAAGACAACAACAAAAACGGTTATTGCGCCAGAGCGAGCGACAAACATGGTGAAAGGTGTCTGCGCAACTGGCAAAAGTGGGAGTACAATCCAGATAGAGCGCCCAAGGAAGCGTTTGTGCCCAAACGCGTAAGGCGAACAATCTAGAGAGATCGACAATGTACACCACTTGAGCAAAAACTTTGTTGTGAAAGAAATGTGCGACAATTGTATTGTGCAAGAATTCTGTGACAACGACAATGAGGAGGAGGAATCGAGTGACGTCGATGACGAGAAGGAGGAATCAAACGATGACGATGACAAGGAGGAGGAATCAAACGACGATGACAAGGAGGAGGAATTGAGCGAGGATGAGGAATCAGAAGACACAGACTATGAGGACAATGAAGTAAAGGACGCGTCAGAAGTTGATGTGGACATGTTCACGAAGAGTCTATCTGGAAAACTTTTAGGAGAAGCGAAGCAGATAGTGGCACAAGAGGTGAGAAGAGGATTGTACAACAAATCAAGCAAGAGCGAGAAACCTCCTTACAACTTGGGAGAGCGCGGCAAAAACGTACGTGTGTACAACAAGAAAGCTAACTACCACGTGAACATGAAGAATGTCGAAGTAGTTCTCAAGAAAAATTGCTGCAAGGCCAAATGTTACATGAAGTTCATGGTAGAAGATGTTTTCTACAAGCAAGAAAAATTTTGGGCGATGAAACAACCTAAGCAAGTCAACTTCCTTCTCGCAGAGATGAGGGTTGCATCGTATTTATCCGATGATGGAGATTTACAGGTGTTAAAAGTGACATTCAACGGCATAAAGGTTTGCACAAAAGCGTGGGGAAAGTTGTACAGATGCTCGACTACACGTGTTGCAAGGCTACGCAAAGACTTCAGAGATGGACTAGTGTTGTACGAGCATGCAAACAAAGTCTCAGTCGGATTATCTGCTTCATCACAACAAATTCTGGCCTGGTTGCATGAATATTTTCGATTTAACACTAAGAGTATGCCGAATAGCAACCAGTTTCATCTTTCAGATACTCTCCAACGAAGAGACGTGTATGATTTCTTCAAGCGAGACTGCAAAGCGCTTTACACGAAGAAGACTCTTCCTTCCCGTTCCAGATTTATGACGATTTGGAGGGTTCACTGCCCCAAAGTTCTCATTCCTGCATTGAAGAGGTTCTCGGTTTGTTCCACAAGTCTGAAATTCAAGACAGGTCATTCACAGGTAACCAGTGCGTTGGAACGAGGTGATGACAGAACCTCAATGCTTATTTTCTCTTTCCTTGTTTTCCTATCTCTTCTTCTTCTCTCTCTCTCTCTCTCTCTCTCTCTCTCTCTCTCTCTCTCTCTCTCTCTCTCTCAGAGTTGATCTGTCTCTCTTTACTTGACTTTTTAACATTTGTATTGACAAATGAATCATTTGTGTTTCGCTTCAAATAATAAGTTAAAGACAATCTGGTAAATGATGTATCTTATTAAAGCACGATAGGGTTCATTTTTCAAAGTTCGGCACAACGCGACCGGCTGTTCTAACTCATTCTTCAATTTGTGACACAGATCGACTGACTGTTCCGACTTATAGCCCTATAAGTTGTTCTTTACAGAAAAAAAGAAACTGAGATTCGTGCATTCAAGAAAAGATTCTCATAAAAATTTTCGTCTTTTCTCCCTAAGTCTTTATCTTCCTCTTCTTCTTCTTCTTCTTCTCTCTCTCTCTCTCTCTCTCTCTCTCTCTCTCTCTCTCTTTCTCTCTCTCTCTCTCTCTCTACTTCCTTTTTCACATTTGTGTTTATTTACGAAGAATTTGTGTTTCGTCGTAAACAGTTAGTTGCAAAAGATATGGTTAATGACGTTTCTCATGAAAACACCTCAGTGTTCATTCTTCAACGTTTGGCACAGCACGACTGGTTGTTATGACTTACAACCTTGTATGTTGTCTATTTGTACAAAAGTAGATATTGCAATTAGCGCATTCGAGAAAGAATTATCATGAAACTAGAAAGTTTTTTAAGGAACAACTTCTGTAATTTTCTGTTTTGAGGCGACTGAGTGTTCTTGGTTACGTCCTTGCAACCGATTATCTCTAAGAGACTAAAACTTTATTAGTGACATCTTCGTTGTCCTGCCCATACTCTTTCTGTTAATTAAAACAAAGATTTTGTGAAAGAATGAATTTATTAATGTACGACACTTGTCGACTGACTATTCTGAGTTAAAGCCCTTTAACACGTTGTGTGGTAATCAGCTTGGATTTTATTATGAGTTATAGCCCTATAACACATTGTGTGGTACTCGGCTTGGATTTTCGGGTCCTTATTCGGGTTTGGTCTCTCTTTGTGAACGAGTCTTGACAAAGTATTCACTTGTTTTCGTTTTTTGCGCAGCAATGTTCGGCAAGGCACTAGAGAAGCACCGGTTAATGCAAGGAGAAGAGAGACAAAAACTTAGTAAGCATCGCCACAAGGCTTCCAGCCGACCGACAGAGTACATCGCAATGATCATTGATGGTATGGATCAGAGCAAGACCATACTGCCACACTTCACAAGGATTCCAAAGGATTCGAAACTGAAAGAAGGGAACTTTGTGAAAGTTCACGTGGTCGGTGCCAAGGTGTTAGGATTTTCATCGTCTGCCTTTGCAACTGTGTTCTTTGACAACTTCAAATCCGATTCTAATTGCATGCTGATTGTTCTTCATCGGTGGATTTCTCAACTTCCTAGACCATTTTCAAAAGTCTTGTATCTCACACTTGATAACACTTCGAAAGAGAACAAGAACAACTTTGTGTTAGCGTATCTTGTTTTCTTAGTAAAGATGAGAGTGTTTAGTAAAGTTCAGTTAAACTTTCTTCTTGTGGGTCACACACACGAGGACATCGATCAGATGTTCAACTGTTTCTCGAGAAAGCTGGCTGTACATGATGCGTTCGATCTTCCTGAGTTGCAACACATCATTAGGGAGTCATACAAGGTAGAACAAGATCATGGCGTTTACGTTGAGGAGATGACGAAAACAATGGATTGGAAGTTGTACATTCAGGATCATCTACAAAATGTCAATGATATTAGTTTCAATCAACATTTCCGAATAAGGCGCAACGACGACGGAGAGGTGCGCATTTGGAGCAAGCAATATCATAATTCGCAGTGGCAGCCGAACAATAGAGAAGATCTGAACATCTTCAAGTCAGAGCCAACAGGACAAGTTCAAGCTTCGCCAAAACATGCAATCCGATCTTTGGAAGCCATATTTCGGCTTACTTGTCGGGGTGAGGACAAGAGGCGTGACAAGGTCGGCAGCAACGAAGGTCATGTTCGTAATTGAGAAACAGGAGGGTCTTCGAAATTTAAGGTTGATGATGATGTATTTTCCATCGCAGCCTTGAAAGCCAACGTTCAAGGTTTGTCGAATTATGCTCAACCCCACAACATGAGTGGCGGAATAAGTTCATAGCAACGCAGGAAACACTCGACCTTGAGGACAAAAGTCTCAAAGAGTTTTTCGTGTGACCCTCTATCGAAGTTGATGTCAGCAAACCAGGTAAAGAAGTTTCTTCAACCGCTGCTGGCTTCGATCAACGTTGGGATGATCTTTTCCCTCCGGAGAGACCCGTCTACATCGGTGCTCACAAGAGATAGTTCCGAGAGGACAGAGACGGAAAGTACGACGATCTCGAGGTCAACACTTTCATCGCACTACGAGTTTGTCCGGGGCAGGAAGAGAGAGGCAAACCTTACCACATTGGCAAGGTTGCCGAACTGCTAGTCGATAAACGATTCAAAGTTGCTTGGTTTGCACAACGTGAGAAAGGAGAAGGTTACTATCCTCGATTCAAGACAAATCCTCAAGGAAAAACTACGAGAGAGCCTTCCGAGGACGTCTACGAGTGGAGATGAGGAGTTCTTTATTACAACTTCCAACTGAAGACAGACAAAACCTTATTTTCGCTGACCCGACAAAAGATAACCGAGATGTTGAATTCAATGGCAACGGAGGATGTTGACTAGGAAAACCTTTCAGGAACCGTTTGTTCAGGAGGTTGTCAGAGAGTCATCGCGATTGAGGTCATTTCTAGTTCCGCATCAAAGCAGGTTTCATTTTGTCGTTGTTCGTCCGATTGTATGAGTTCAATCGTTATTGGTTTTTAAACCCTTGTAAAGTTTTGTACATTCGTAGGTCGTAGTTCGCATGACCCGTTTAGCCAGGCATGTGTGGCCAACCTTTCTTGTTTTGGTGATCTTTTTCTTTGCATTTTGCGTACTTTTAGTTTTCGATTTTGAGAATTTAAAAATTGACTAAAGATTTGCAGTTCAAGTTTCAACTACTCAATTAAAGTTTTAGAGCTTTAAGTTCATTGAGCTTTGTTAACAGATTTTCAACGATGTCGTATGCGTTTTCAGGGCTTCAAACGCTTGACATATTACCTTTCAAAAATTTCTGGACTTTCGGTTTTCTTGCGTTTAGGCGAAAATAGTGACCATTTTTGGAACGTTTTTTTGTGCCTTCATCTCAACTGTCGATTGACAAAGCAATTGTTTCACGTTTTCGAACCAACTCCTAGTTTTTAAGTTATAGGGCTATAAGTTGCCCAATTTTGGATGTCCGATTTTTCAATGTTGTATCATGCATTTATAGGGTTACAAGCACTTGACAGATTACCGACTCAAATTCATATGCCAGTCGTTCATTTTCCAGCACTCGTTATATGCCTATAATTCGAAAAGTATTACTTTCGAATTTCAAGAGAATTACAAGGGTCAATTCAAATTCTTGTGAAATTCGATTTTTTTTTCAATGTCCAAAAATTCGTGTTATAGGCCTATAAGGTCATGTTTGGATTTCTTTGAATTTTCTTGTCGGTCGAATTTGCTCAATCGTTTGCACTCGACTTTTGGAGATTTGAAATCAGTTCTCATTGCTTGTTTTTTGCTTTGCTCTGGAGTCCGTGAATTTACTACTTTCGTTTTCAAACTTCTATTTCCTTGATATTAAAAGTGAAAAAAAACGAGGATTACCGACCCATTTGTTCGGTTTACAAAGTTTTTGCTCAGTTTTTTAGTCCTTAGATTTGGTTCCGGAAAAGACTCTTCTGTTTGCAAAAAAAAACTGCATTCACTGTACACTACTGAGTGTTCGTTTCGACATCCACCCAAATCTTCATATATTGGAAACCTTTTCGCCAACCATGACTAGGGGTCGCCTGTTCTCTTCGAAAAGGGGCTCGTTTTTTCAACTGCGTTGTCGACCTCGAATATGTACTAGTTTTGAGGGTTTTTTTTAATGACATTTAAACACAAAACGGTGTAAAATCGACCATTATGTGTCGAAATACGTTATATTTCGTTTATGTTTTTCTGTCTATAAGATTTCTCTGGTTTTGGTCTGTTTCTCTGGTTTTCACCAGTCCATTGTTATGGGATTTCCTGAGCCACGACGTTATGGACTTCTATAAAGAAGTATGGCTCACAGGGGAAATGGGTGAAAGAGTGGCGCAAAGGATACTGACCGTCTTATAAAAAAAAATGACAAAATAGATATCATAAATTACCGCCCGATCACTCTTCTCACAGTAGTATACAAAACGTTGTCTAAAGCCTTAGCTAATAGAATGATTCCGGTCATGGAAGACATCATCCACCCTTCTCAAACAAGCTTCATCGAAAATAGGAACATACAAAAAAACATCCTTCTAATCCATGAGGTTCTTCAACTCACAAAACACTCCCGACAGAACGCAGCCATGATGTTCACTGGCTCATAATGTCCCTGCCGCAGAATGGTCATGCCTTGCCAACTGGTAATCTTCAGGCGTGCCGCCCTCTCGCTGCTGCTCCGATCGGTAGACCGAGCGCCTTCCCCGGTAAGCCAGCCCCCGCCCTCTCGCTGAGCAGGTACATATCCCCACTATCCTCCTTCCTTCTCACAACTCTTCCCTTCCACTGCCCGTAGCCCAAGTGCATGGGTTATAAGCGGGTCTGCACCTTCACGGTCGGCTGGCCGCGACACCGAACATTGCCAATCTTAACAAGTTTATGCTGCTTGGCGCCACAATGCCCGACACGAAGTACCGCAATCCAAGCATTGATGTGCAACACCCATAGCAGCCAACGCAATGCCCAACCAATAGGCAGGCCCCCACTTCTCAGTCATCTCACGCTACCCCCGCCGATAGCTGACTAACCCCGAACTGGCCTTCCGCTGGTACCCAGCCTGCAGGTAGCGTGAGGTAAGCACTCCGACTCCGTGGCTGGCTTCCCTATTTGGTTGAACGGAATCGAATGACTCTACCGCTGGGACTTGGCCAGGTACACCACAACTCGGCAACGTCGCTCGACTATCCGTCCGTCCCGCATCGCTAGCTCCCCAAGGTAAGTACTCCTCTCCCCCAACTGCAGGCAACTCCCTCTTATCCCCCACTTAGCTGCCTCTGCTAACTGAGTGGCCGGCTTCCTGACCAACTGGTAATCCTTCAGCCCGTAGTGGGCCTCGTGCCACCCTCACCGATGGCAAGGGACAAAATCGAATGAATCGGCCGCTACATCGTGGCCGGGTGCCTCTTCCACCATACCCCGGCGCACAACCTTTCTGCTAACTTCCCTACCTACTAACTCTCACCTATAACTAACCTCATAATCGTGGTCGCCAGTCCCAGAACCCATGGAATAGCCCCCTCACTTGCCCGCTTTCGTTGAGAAACGGGCACACTATTCTTTTGTCCACACCGCCCGTCTCCTTCTCTTCCCACGCATGCATGTGGCGCCCCCCTAGGACCGGATTCATCCACTGTTTTCTCCCTTTCTTTCCGACAGTCTCCCGCACGTCTTCCTATCTTCCACTACGCCCCACCATGCGTCGTTCTGTCTTCTCCACCATGTTCGCCCTACCCCAACGCCTTGGGAGACCACCTTCACCTGTTGAACTTGGCCAAGAAACGCCCGAATCCAACACTTTCCCTTCTCCTTCGTCCTCCTCCGCCATAACTCTGCTCCAACTTTTCTTACTAACCTCTAATCTACTAACCTTCCCTCAAATCTAAGCCTATAATCTGACTCGTCGGGCCCGCAAACCCCAGAAACGCCTCCTTTTTGCGTCTGATTCCGACTAGGATCAGGCGAGTTAGGCTCCCCCGACCGCGCCCGGCTCTCTGCCATCTCCGCATGCACCCGGCGCGGTTCCGGGTTAGATCCATTCCTCACCCCATCTTCTCGCTACCTGCCTTAGCGCTATTTCTACGGCGCTATCACTCCGCTCACAGTCACTGAATGCTGCCCCGACTGGCGTGGCCAGGTAGGTACTCCCCACTCCGGTCCTACTAACAGCGCCAGACTCCTTTTCCTTTGTTTCTGACCCCGCCACCCAACATCTCACCGCCGCGCGGTCTGACAGCGTCCGACTTCGCCCCCCAAAAAAAAACAGTTGTCGGCCCCGCCTATGTTATATGCGCGTCCCTCATGCAAAGGGCCATGCTAGTCTTCTCTACCCCGCCCAAGTTTATGGATATCCGGGGGATCCGACCTGGGCAGTGCCCCATGGCGCTCCCAAAAAGCCACCCGGCCCATCATCTGGGCCCAACTTGGTCTGCGTATCTACAGTTCAGGGGTGTACCCACCGAGCCAGGCTCTTGGGTGCCTGCCGCGCCCACGGCACCGCGTCCCAAGCAAAACGGTGTCGGGCGCGGCTCCGGCGTATCTGCGAAAACAGTTTGTAACTGCACTTCAGGCGACCCTACAAATACAACACACCCCCACGCGCTCCTACCGCAGTCTCGTGTCCTCGGGACGCGACAAATAAAACAGATAGGGGAAATAAAATAAAGTAGTAGCAGGGTCGGGGAACAACGGGGCTGCTGGCGTCGCGCCAGCCCCTCAGGCCGGCTCCACCGCCGCGCCCGCAAACAAAACCGAGGGGGATAACCCTGGCGGCCCTCAACCCCATCGGTTCCTTCCACGACGCTCCGTTGCAGTTGTTGCGCCGACGCCCGCTGGCCACGATCCCCGAACATCTGTATCGTCAACCCAATGCCGTAACCTATAGGGCTAAGCCCAAGCCTGAGACCAAAACCCACGGAGTGCCATATAAGGTGGTGCGGCACACCGCTCAGGGCCAGGGAAACTGGCCTGAGCCTCATCTCTGCCTACAACCGTGCGCGCGGCCGTCCAGCATCTGCACCAACTTACCAAGCTGTACCACGGCCTCCACTCGCGCCACTCCGCGCGCCAAGACCTACCACAGTCCCACTGTCGCCGTCGTTGCCACTGTCGAGGTCGCCCTCCGTACGCACGCGTAACTCAATCAAACATACCAACCAAGGAAAAATATCCTTAATCCTAGTCTAACCAAAAGAAAAATAAAAAAAAATAGAGATAAAAATAGAAATGAACCGACCGGCGTCGGTGCCGGCTCTATAATCTACGATAGAACGGAATCACGCGCGCCTCAAACCTGCGCGCCCACACACTCTTTAATCTAGTCAACCATCCAGTCAACGTAAATCACAGACGCGGTCGCGCCTAACGTGGTATACTTGAACTTTAGACCAAGCTATTTTATGTCGCTTGCAAAAACCAGGGCGGATACCCTTGTAAGGGTATTCGCACCGACAACGTGACTATGCGCCTCCTGATACCTCGTCA